ATTGTTGGCTATTGCTACAAATATACCCCAGCGACTTAAGACTGCTTTTGTGCTCCAGGCTCACATATATCTTTACAAAGAAGGCAATTCTATAATGCATTGCATCATGCTTAGTGAAAAACTCTATCCAGTACAAATTTCTGCTCTGTTTTCTGTACAGCGGTTCACAGGGATTTCCTTTATGCTAATAGTTTAAAGTCTGACTACACAAGGCTTGTATTTAAATAAGCTCAGCTCATGATGGCATAAAGATGTTGAATTAAATTACTTTTGATGTTTTCAAAGCGATAAATCCCCCAGCCGAGCTTTCAGTGTGTGTGCGCGAGTGTCTGACTGCTTGACATCAGGTTTTTAGCTCAGAGGAGGAAAAGCGAGTTTGCTAAGTGAATTGATGCCCGTCTGACTCCTTCCTCCTTCTTTTCTTCTCTTTCCTTTCTTCCTGCTGTGAGCTAGAGACTCTTCTGGATGGATTAAGACAAAGAGAAAAGGGGAGGTGAAGAGAGAAAGACATAGAGAAAGAAAGGTTATTGATGTGTGCCTGGTCGGCTTTAGAGGACACACACACACACACTCACACTCTCTCACACACACACACACACACACGTTTACTTAGCCTTCTGAATGAGCACATACCACAGACTGTTGTTTATATATAACGCAAAGACTAACCTAAACTCTAACCCTAAAAGAAAATTTCACAACATTTACTTTAAATCATTTTTACCTTTTAAGATCGTGACCAGAGGAAGGTTTTGTCAGATTTATCTCACTTCAGGAGTTTTCTTTTCCAAGGTACAGCTGTAAAGTGTGGCAAGTTAGCCAAAAATATTTTGCCCTTTCAACATTTTTTAAAACCTTTAAAGGGGTCATCTGATGCTACATGCACTTTTACAAGTAGTTTGAACTGAAATGTGTGTTGGCAGTGTGTGTACACAACCACCCTATAATGATAAAAAAAATGTAATCTACTAAAATCTTTACCCCTTTCTCAAATCGAGCCGATCTCAGATGCCTGTCTGTGTGATGTCACA